GAGCTATGTTGGCAAGTCTGAAACGTGTCAATTTTTACAAAGCTCATCGGTCTGAAAAGCGAGGTGTGCTCTGATTGGCCAGTTATCCAGTGCGTTGTGATTGGCCGAATACCTCAAGCGTGTGACGGAAATGTTACTCCCCTTACCATATTGTGATGCCTTGTCCCGGCAGGAGCGAAGAGACAAAAACATTAAAACCCATTCAACCCTCTACGCACACCTTGGCAATATAATCACCATTGGCTAGTAAATTTTTTTGTTTACTCGCCAGACTGATATACTATTTTACACACACACAATTGAAATCGCATCATATGATCCCTTTAAGTTAAAAAAACTCTCACATGTCTCTTTTCAACATGTCTATACAGGAAGCATACTGGAAATATATGAGGTCCCCACAGGAAGAGAAGTGTGGAGAGAGCTTTTGTACGGTCAATTCAGACATGTAATGTGGTCTATTTTTAGCCCAGAGTGCGACAACCTCTCCATAATAAAGTTAAAAAATGCATGCTCTGTGTATGTGTTTTAGAAAGTGTGCTCTGAATTGAAACAGTCTGTTTGGACTCCCTTTTGTGTATACAGTCACATGTGAGTGAAGGTGGGTTGTATATTTATCTGATTGGTTATTCAGGTCATCTTGCTGTAACGTTGAATGGATTTGAACAGTTTGCGGTTTGTTTCCGTGTCTTGTTTCCGTATGTCATGTTTATCAGCATGTTCATAATGACTGTCTTCTGTTTCTCTCATGTCATACAAAGTTCAGTGCATATTCATAGCTGCTTTATCGCTAACACCACATTGCTGAGTGACGAGGGACAGATTGCTGTGTCTGAAATTTAATATACCTATAGTGACAGCGTGTTTCCTCTGTGAAAGAGAGGCACTGGATATAGACCTGCATTCAATTATAGCAGGCGCTGTTTTGGAAGTGTTCAGGCATGCTGGGAGTTCGTATTATGTTATGCTGCAGCTTTAACGTGGCTATAGGGCATCGCAGCGTTACATAACCTGCCTCTTCATCTTCCCATGAGTCAGTGCTGTGAGGCGTTTTAGTGTTGGTTTGTTGGAATGATCAAAGTCTCTCTTATCCTGAGTAGTTTTTAAGAATTAATTTTTATGAATGAATCCAAGTTCTGAGTTTCCTCACCAAGTTGTATTAGAAGTTATAAATAAATATAGTGATGGATAAAGATTTAAGGGGAAACATTCAGTTTTTACGGTCATGGATAAGTGAAATGGTAATATCAGGGAATATTTTATTGTATTTTAGAATAGAATAGAAATCATAACTGACTTATTGCTATTAACAGTGCTTCAACATTAAGCTAGTGCCAAAAAAAATGCGGCAATATTCTCCACAAAATGATCTGCATAGAATTAAACCCCGTGTTTCACAGTATTTGGATGGTTGTAGTTCCATGGCATGCACATGGTCATGCTTCCTTCTCGGCTTATGGCCAGCCCTGAATGAAATCCACAGAATTCCATAAAAACCTCAGCAGACTTCATGATTTTAACTGCTGTTGTTTTCGAAGTTCTATGCATCTCTGCTCCTTATATTTGTTAATTTAAATAGTTTTGTTTTTTTTTGAGAATCATCTTAAAATCCATTTAAATCCATTCCACATAATTCTGCAGATTTGTCCTCCACCATCAGCAGAGAAAAATGATGTAGATTCTGTGTGGATCTTATGGCTGACCATGTGGTGTGTGGTGTTTGTATACGTGTATATGTGAAACCAGCTTCTTTCTCATGCTCTTGAGGAGTCAGTCTCCTCAGTTGTAACTACTTGAACATAATTCTGCAGATTTGTCCTCCAAACATTAGCAGAGAAAAATGATGTAGATTCTGTGTGGATCTTATGGCTGACCATGTGGTGTGTGGTGTTTGTATACGTGTATATGTGAAACCAGCTTCTTTCTCATGCTCTTGAGGAGTCAGTCTCCTCAGTTGTAACTACTTGAGGGCTTTGAACAGGTTAGTCCGCACTGATACATAACACAGCTGGCCTCACATGATATTCAGTGTAACCCAAGCTTTGCCACTGAGGTTCTCTGATATTATATATGTGCCGAGGTTCTCGGCTTTCAGGGGCTAACAGAATTAAAGCCGCATGAGGACAACCAGAAAAATTCTATATTTTTCCTATGAGGGTCAATTTTTGCATACATTGCAACAGAAAACTTTTTATTTTCTTTCCTTGATTCAGCAACCGTTGTTAAATGAGCTGTACTTTGAACGTCAGTGTAATTCAGTGTCGTATTTGTTTACCCGACCGCTGCCTTGCAAAAAATTTATTTCTCTCTTTATTATCTCTTTATTGTTGATGAAAAATCTAATAAGGCAGCAATCTGCAGATTTTTATTGCATTTTCTGCACTTATTTGAGGAAACGGGTAACCAGAACCATCTGCCTCAGCCGTGCGTTCACACGCCTTTCCAATATTCAAAGCCAATGCAGCAGCTGACATGTGTAGAGAAAGCTAAAGGACGAAATACTTCATGACCGTAAAATCCATCTGTTTAATATGAAAACATGAGGTCTTGCTGCACTTCAAATGTCAAATGGAAGTTGGCTGTTATTTCATAATCACCTGACGGCGATAACTGTTATTTATACATTTTAGTGAAATATTTCTGTACAATCAGGGAATTTTAAGTAAATCTAATATTCTGATATTCACAGCAACAAAATCAAAACAAACGGAGTTTAAAAGGTGAATTATTATTATTATTATTATTATGTATAATTTATATAATACAAGGATTTAATTTAAACATTAAATTATATTATATTTATCCCCTGGGCAATATTTGTGCAAAAAATCATTTTTGTCATTAAATGTCTTGTTTGTTTGTGTATTAGGGTTACACTCCCAAGGGCTTTCTAATTTTTTATTGTAATTATTTGTATTGCAATCATTTGTCAGCTAATATTTCATTGTAATGACAGCCCTACATGTAAGGCTGATATCATTACATCACGTCTTGTGGCTTTGTGACACTGAGGCTTTTAGTGGCTGGCTGCGGTTTTGAGCCGATTGCTGGCGCAGCAGTTTCAGAGCGGTGAGGTCAGGAGCGTGTTTTCACAGCACACTAGAGCTGGAACCGAGTGAAAGGGCCCTCACACTAACCCTTCACCTACCTTCCCTTTCATCGGCTTTCTGTGAGGTGGAGATTTCCTTCAGCTAGACCACACCTTAGCAGTGTGTGTGAGTCTGAATTCGTTTAGAAGGGAGGGTGTGCATGTGTCCTTGGCCCTGACAAACTGCTAATTTGTGAGATTTTAGATGTTCTATTTCAGTGGCTGACAGCTAGCTGTGTGGTCACTTTCAGTTGCCCGATTAAAAAACAGTCTAAATGTTTCTTTTGATGGGTCTGTTCTGTATTATGTATCCCTTTTTTTTTCATTGCTCAGCATTTTTTCGTCACATCTTTAGAGCATCTTGAAAAAATCTTGCTTTAAAAATGTTTTTTTTTTTTTTTTTTTCTGAAAAGTTTCCTGCACATTATGTTTCCGAAATGTCTGGTTATCAGCATTTATTTTCATTGGTTTTTTCTTTGTTGGCCAATGTCAGCAATATCTGGTCTTTGTCAGTCTACATAGAAGAATGCAGCATTCTGTAGAGATACATTTGTGAGACTCTTTCTTACCATTTAAATGCAAAATAAACTCTGGTTGGTTGCTTTACATGTCAGGAGCCCTCTCTCTTCCTGTTTGAATGGCCAGTTTGCTGACAAAAGTTTGGCAATGCAAGACTATTTCACACCTGATTAGGAATTAGTGTCGGCAATAGTTTTTGTTGTTCGTGCAGCACTGTGGTTGGTTTATTATGTCTGGAGTGTCTCTTTCACAGTAGAATGCATGAACTTCCAATATTACAGCATTTCCTGTTTGGGTTTCTGTGCGTTCATCAGACTTCCTGTGGTCATTGTCTCCCAGATAAGGGCATGGGGCATTTTCTGCTCTCTGATGCCAAGTCTTTATTAAAGCTTCCAGGTCCTTTAGGCTATATGAAATTTAGTGTTGTCAAATTTAGTGACACAAAACTTGGCAGCCCACTCTGTGTTGTTGAAAGGTGTTAGCTTTTAAAACCCATTTTGTAGACCAATTTTACACAGCATATTTTACATAGCTGCATTATATCATGCTCTAGCCCTGTAGAAACATAAAGTGATATCTTAAAGTCCTCATGAAATCAAAATTGACTATATTTACTTTGTTAGCACACATTGCTAAACTTGAGGTGAACAATTAATCGGTGCAAGTTCATCCACTGAAAAAAAAAATGTTTATCTTGGTAATCTTTAATCAAAATCTGAGCATTTGCTTCCGCTCTGGAATGGCATTCCTTCTCTGATGACGTCAGTTTGATGGCTTGGGCCTTGACTTGGGCAGAATATCCTTAATCACACCCCTTTCAGTTGGAAATACGTCACTATACTGAAGTGCAGCAACTTCCGGTTCATGCTGAATTTTTCACAACTCAATCATCTAGCAATGCTTGTTTTATTCAGAGAGGTTAATTAAAATGGTCATTTATCGCAGACTAGACTTGGGCTTCTGTTCCTACATCCCTGTTTAGATCCATAAAACTGAAATTAAAGTTTATCAGATTAGTTCTTTCCTCTGATATAGTTTCTGAAACTGACCAGGAAGCTTCCATATCTCTCCTTTCTGTTAAAGCCGTGCTTGTGTATATTGTGAAATTGTTATTTAAATATTATTATCTCTTTATTGTTGATGAAAAATCTAATAAGGCAGCAATCTGCAGATTTTTATTGCATTTTCTGCACTTATTTTTAGGGAAAGTTGTCTGAAATGGTTTTTAAAAAAGTGTTGCGCTCTCATAGATAATTAACACTTTTTCAAAATTAGCCAAAATATTGAATAAACTATTATTTGTACTTCTGCAAATTTTTGTGCATTTCCACATGCCACAGTGGTGTACTGTATATCTAAAATATTTGATAAATCTTTTTCTTTCTTCATTCAGGGCGAAAATAACCTATGGCGGAAGTTGAATCGCAAACAGAGAGACTCTGAGTAAGCTGGACTGTGCCTGTCCCATAATCCCCGCTAGTCGGGTCAAGGGACCATGGGAGATGGAGGCGTCAATGCGGTGGGAGAAGGGGTGAATCAGTCTCACGTGCTCTTTGACCGCTTTGTCCAGGCCACCACCTGCAAAGGCACTCTCAAGGCTTTTCAAGAGCTTTGTGACTTCCTAGAACTCAAGCCCAATGAATACCGTGTGTTCTACCACAAACTCAAGTCCAAGCTCAACTACTGGAAAGCCAAAGCTCTCTGGGCCAAGTTAGACAAGCGCGCCAGCCACAAAGAATACAAAAAAGGAAGGTCCTGTGCCAACACCAAGGTATGAAAGTTTCCCTGGGGTGAAAGAGAGCGTTTTGGTTATTAGTTCTCAAACTTGCAATGTTCTGGTATTGCTTGAAATAGATTCTTTATGGACTTTGTGGCTTGATGATTTGGTTTTTACTCCTCATGGCCTGTGTTTCTCAGTGTCTGATCATTGGAGCTGGACCATGTGGTTTACGAACAGCCATAGAGCTGGGCTTCCTTGGAGCCAAGGTGGTTTTGCTGGAGAAGAGGGATGCATTCTCCCGAAACAATGTGCTCCATCTTTGGCCTTTCACCATTCACGATCTGAGGGGTCTTGGAGCCAAGAAGTTCTACGGCAAGTTTTGTGCTGGAGCCATCGACCATATCAGTGAGTAGTATATCAAACTATTTTTCTTATAGAGAGAAATTAACCTTTACAGTACAGACATCCATTACAGATCCCAGTACAAGTGGACATCACTAAACATAGATGTAAATGGGTTACGAGGCACATTGGCGACTTTCAGTTACTCTAACCACCTTCAGAGGTGTTCAAGGACTCCCAGCAAGTGTAGTGTAAATACTAATGCGTACTGATTCATCCCAGACATTGAATGGCTGCCTACTCATGTAATCATTGTGGGATGTGTTGGGGAAAACCTGCCAAAACAAGGTCTTTAAACTTTGCCAGCAAGATAGAACAGTTGGACTTGTGGAAGTGATGTACCTAATCAGAGAAACTCCTCTAGAATATCTTGTCCACATCTTGAGTCAGATTTTAATACCATGTGTAAATGGGGTCTCAGATGTGCTTTCTGTTTTTGCAATCTCCTAATGCAGGTATTCGCCAGTTGCAGCTGATGCTTTTGAAGGTAGCTCTTCTCCTTGGCATCGAGATTCACGTCAACATGGAGTTCAAAGGCCTCATTGAGCCACCAGAAGACCAAGAGAATGAGAGTAAGATCACTTTCTCATGTCCTTTCCATGCTAAAGTTCAGCTGTTCCATTCGTTTGTTTTAATTTCCACATAAATACCAGTCGTTCTAAAGAGCCTAGGCATATCCTGAACAAATACCAAGTCTTGCGGAGAAATGACTTGTCTGTCATTGCTGAACATGCTGTTGGTTTTTCCAGGAATTGGGTGGAGAGCCGAGGTCCACCCCAGAACACATCCAGTCAATGAGCTAGAGTTTGATGTCATAATTGGGGCAGATGGGAGGAGAAATACACTGTCAGGTAAGATTATAACACTACATACAGTATATATAATCGTAAATGAGAACAATGTCCTCTTTTTGAATCTTTGGTTCTTGTCTAGACAGGGAAAAAAAAAAATGTGTGGTGCTTGCTAACCTCAGCGTGCAACTTGTGTGTAATGTGCACTATTTATCCTGCAGACATGAATGATATCTCAAATCATGCTGCTTATTGTGAGAAGTGTGCTTATACTTGACTAACTGATCGAACTTGGCAAATCAAAAATGGGAGAAAAATCTTGTAGATTTGCACTAATGTTCAAATGTTTGTAGGGTTTTTGTAAGATTTTTAAATGATTTTGAAATAAGTCTCTTATGCTCACCAAGGCAGCATTTATTTGATCAAAAAACTGTAAAATTATGTAATATTACAATTTGAACTGATTTCTTTTTTATTTTTATTTTATGCTATTTATACCTGTGATACACAGCTGAATTTTCAAGATCCATCCATTACTCATATCTATCTATCTATCTATCTATCTATCTATCTATCTATCTATCTATCTATCTATCTGTCCGTCCGTCCGTCCGTCCGTCCGTCCGTCCGTCCGTCCGTCCGTCCGTCCGTCCGTCCGTCTATCTATCTGTTTGTCTGTCTGTCTGTCTGTCTGTCTGTCTGTCTGTCTATCTGTTTGTCTGTCTGTCTGTCTGTCTGTCATTATTATGAATGTTTATTCTGTCTCTTCAGGTTTTAAGAGGAAGGAGTTCAGGGGCAAACTGGCTATCGCTATCACAGCTAACTTCATTAACCGCAACACGACTGCAGAAGCGAAGGTGGAGGAGATCAGTGGAGTAGCCTTCATCTTCAACCAGAAGTTTTTCCAGGACCTTAGAGAAGCCACAGGTACAACAAGCACTCTTATTCAATATATGTCAGATCTTGATGTTCCAGATGGAACTTAATTACATCTGTGAACGGATGCAAACAACTTCCTCTTTCTATCTCTGTCCCCCTTTTTCTCCCCCCTCGACATGCTGTCTGTCACATCTCCACTTCAATCTCTTCTTCCTGCTTGCTCATTTTGTCTTTTTCTTTTTTGATTTGCCTCCACAGGAATTGACCTGGAAAACATTGTCTATTATAAGGATGACACACACTACTTTGTAATGACTGCCAAAAAGCAGAGCCTGCTGGAGAAGGGCGTCATTCTACATGTGAGTGATCAAAGAATTTGACTGCCGCCAGTTTTCTAACTAATCTCCACACTTTTATTCGCACTTCTCCCTCCCTCTTTATCTTTATCTCTTCCTGTTTGCCTTTCTCTGTCCCTTAGAAAAGTGCTAGCACACTTCTGCTCAAGGCAGATGATTTGAGATGCAGCACAAACATGAATTGAAAAAAATATGTTTTGGGTGTTGCATGCCAAAGTATGAGACCAAAGTACCTTAGCCAGATGTGAATATTTAATACCATTCAAAGGTTTGAGATCAGTTACTTTTTCATTTTTTTTAAATACATTTTTAAGAATTTTTATTCATCAATAATGCATTGCTTTTATCAAAGTTATAGTAAAGGCGTTTATAATGTTGCAAAATAATTTTATTTCAAATAGTGTTATTTCTGAACGTTCTATTCATCAAAGAATCTTCAGAAAAATCTATCACGTTTTTTTATCTATCACAAAAAAAAAGTAGCACAACTGTTTTCATCATTGATAACAAGAAGAAAAGTTTCTTTAGCACCAAATCAGCATAATAAAAGGTTCTAGGTGTTTAATTCTGTCTTTAGGAGGCTTTTGGCCATAGGAGTGTAAATAATCATTACTTTGGGCGGACAGTCTGTTCCCTTTTATTCACAATGAGCTCTTCTGCTCTGATCCCAGTACTGCCAAGTTTGTTGAATCATTAACAGGGAGCCTCAGTCCCAACCATTACTCTCACACTCACACACAAACTCTTGCATAATACAGCTGATATAATGATGCACAGTAATGACACCAATTAATGTAGCTCGATAGGTTGCGAGAGAGGGATGCTTACTTTGCATTTTTCAGGATAAATAACAAAATCCCACTGGACAAAACACTTGTTTTAATATGTAGGATTATGCCTTAAGTGTAATGGTGCTCAGAATGAAGCCATTTTAAATGAGTGTCAGCGCTGAGAGTTCTCATCTGTTTTAAAGAGCCTGACTGTTAGCAGAAACAAACACTGCTTGCTCGTAGCAACATGAATCAGAGAGGAAAAGACCTCTCAAATATCCCATTACCACACCCACAGCCACTCACAACTGAATTATATGCCTCGTGGTGCTCTTCAGTTGCAGAAAACTTTGAGCGTAGTTTTAAAATATCAAAACCACCTTTAAAAGTTTTAATGATTATATTTTCCTCAGTGCCTAAAATTAGTTTGACTTGATCAAAAAGATGCCACAAACATTAATATGGGTCATAATATATGTTTTTATTTACATAAAATACAATATATACGGCATTGTCTTTTTTTTAAATCAATTTTTATATTATAACTA